GAAATGGCACAAATATCCAAGGACGAAAAAAACAAAAAAAGCACGAAGAAGAAAAAGTACACGGAAGAAAAATATGAAACATCGAAATGCAAAAGTTTTAGAGAAAAGTGCTGAGAGAAAAAGCAAGCAGAGGAAAAGAAAGGTAGTTGCTGATTTCTGTTGCAGTTTTTCCTGCCAATGTCGATTAATCTTTAATTAAGAGTGTTATGTGTATTTATCCATTTTTAGCAATTTGTTAGCCGGAATGTGGTTCTTTCATTTAAAATCTTGTGTTTTTGATAGATATAGATTTGAAATCAGTGGGTCATGTCAGTCATGGGTTATTTTATAGGGCATTACTAGGGCACACAGTCGTCTGGCTGAAGCTGTAGGCTTGGATCCTCGGACTGGTCGACAGAAAAAGCGGAAAAAAAGTGAACGGTGTGTTGGATTGCTTAAGTTTTTAAGTTTTGGTGTGATTACAAGTTAGCTTCACGAAGGCAACTATTTTGTTGTCATGCAAGAGCTCAGTAAAGATTTTTGTTAGAATACTTTTGTTTTGGTAACTCATCGTGGAGCGTATTTATGTTGTGACAACTTCCATACATTTGAAATCTACATTTCTTCAAGGTCTGGATTTTCAGGCATTTCCCATCAAAGTATATTTGTCGGAGATTATTTAATACATCTACATTATCGATCAGAAACAATGATGACTTAGGTATACCAGTTGAAATGTATGTTTTAGAACATTTAAAATTTTTTTTCATATTTCAAACGGCTAATATTAATACATTCTTATACCCGTTTTACTTGTTTCTGTATAGGTCGTTTATTATATGGCTAAATATTCTGATTACCCCATTGCAGGAGTCTGCAGTCGACAGAGCATCTTAACGATAAATTATCCACAAAGGAGCCAATGTAAGTTTATTTTGCAAATTCATTCTTTAGGAAATCAATTTTTAATTGAACTTTCAACAGATTTTTTATAAACGTAGAGTTTAAGAGAAGAAACAGATTTAATTACTTCGATTATGTTCGAACAAGCAAAAACTTTGGCACCTGCTCGATATCAGCGCATCTTACGTGATGGTACAATCGGTGAAACTGAGCAAATGATCAAGCAGAAGAAAAAATTACTTGAAAAAGTCGTGGCTTGTAAAGAACTAGTTTCTTCTGAAGATTTAAAGGTTAGTTTACCAATTTGAACTTAAATTCAGTTTAATTTTGTCTGATTTTAGCTGCAGCCGTCATGTTAATCCTTCTGATATCCTGCATTTCTTCGTCTTTCATAAGTTTCTCCTTTTTGTATGTTTTAGAAGCCAATTGGTCCAACAACAATTCATTTTTCATGTTGATAGTTTTGCGTTCGTTGTAGTTTGCGGGTCCTATGTAATTTATAAAGACTTAAACGTAATGTGAGAAGTTTTAGGAAACAATGTTTTACACTCCATATTTCAGTTTCATAAGTAGAAGAAAGCCACGAGAAGGTGGTGAGACTTTGATTCTGATGCCTCTGCAATGCGTGTGTCATGAATTAAATGTTGATTAGATGTTAATAATAATAAAGAGCCTTACAGATAAAATATGCGATGTTTATGAGTCCAGTAAATATGGTTTAGCTTCTTGGCATCTTTTAATACTATTTCACTCATTAATTTTAAATCGATTTTTCCTTGCTTTAAGGTTTTAACTGTGGGAAGAGTGATTTCATTCGTTAAAGGTAATTTAAATGTTAAATCAAGTGTTAGTTGATTTTTTTTAGGACCCTGTACCGAAAATTTTCAGATGTTTGAGGGTTCGCGACTGAAGCTTTTTGAAAGGGAGATATAATTGCCATTATTATTTGATGTTATCTTACCATGTTTGTTACATCTTGTGCCTCTGTGCGTTTTTCTAGACAGTAAAAGTAAGGAAAGTATGCTGTTTTATTAGTACTTTTCCTGTCGTGGTTTTCCCACATTTTTCACTTGTCATTTTCGTTTTCAGATGTTGCCCATTAATATTTCATCTGCTATAACGATGACACACTGCGTTTTGCGTTTTAGATTAGGTAGTTCGTAAATTCAGTATAGATAGGCAATTGGGTTTGCAGGATTCAGATGAAAACATATCAATGTTTTCGGCTAGCAGCAGTCATGTTGAAGCGAAAGAAAAACGGAAGAGACGTCCATCACGTTGGGGCACTCCTACTACTTCAAAAAGCCATGATAATACTATTATAACTGCTTCGATACCTCTTCCTTTGGGACCACCCTTGACACAGTCAGCAGTTTCTTTAGAAAATATACCGGTACCTTCAATAGACCAACAACCGCCGCAGTCACAAGTGGCGTTATCTTCAAAGCCGTCTGCTCTTAATAGTATGTTTTCTCTTTCATTACTTTAAAAAATGCATGATATATATATATATATATAATATTTGTGTGGAATATCCTATCACAAGTAATATACATAATAAAATGTAAAAATTCCAAAGCTTTGCTGTTGTCGTAGAATGAAATTTAAATTGTTACCTTTTTGTAGCAGCTCCATCTACGTCTTTTGCGCTCAAATCGGCATCGATACCGTTTGGAATGGCTAGTGGACAGTCACGGATTAGTCTGCCTCCATTTGCTGGTTCAGGTTTGGGCCAACAACCTCTTAGTTTGAGTCATCAGCCTCTGGTTACTCTAGGACAGCAGCAGTTAACCGGACTGGGGCAGCAAACTTTAACTGGTTTAGGGCAACAGTCAGTGCCAGGTTTAAGCCAACCACAGTTAACGTCTATTGGACAAGGGTCATTAGTCCAGATGCAGTCGTCTTTGCTACCGAATTTCTTCCTACCACCGCTGAATTTAGGTGCAAGTCAGTTTTTTTTTTTTTTTTTTTTTTTTTTTAACATCTTTTAAAATTTTTTCTACATGAAAATTTACAAATCGGCTGGTGTGTTAGAACTTTTACATATTGTTTTTATGAAAATGAACTTCCGATTTCCGTGTACTCAGCATTAATCTTTAAAGCGAACGTTTTAGTGAACGGTTTATTGGCAGCAGGTCTGCTTGCTAATAACAATCCGTTGGCAGCTCCGCCGATTACTCAACCACTAGCTCAGCCATCTTCTGCAAGCACAACTCCTTTTATATTCAATCCAGTGCAGCTTTCAGCAGCCTCAGCTCAACAATTAAATCAGCATTTTGTAAATTTAGCAACTACACTACGACGAAATGTAGATACAGCTGCTGATTCCGCACATTTGTCTCAGCAATCTTCTAAACAACCAGAGGGCGTCCCACCACCTCCACCGGTCATGAAACCGTCTGAATCTGTATCCAACAATATATCTCTCTGTGAACCGTTGGCTGAGAAAATCAGGAAATTAATTGAAGCCAGTAATGTAAAACCTCTGTGCGACACAAGTGTCGACGATGGCACCGCAAAAATTGGTGTTACAATGGATGTGCGTTTTTATTGTTTTGTAATTATGTATAGATTTATATATTTATCTGGTTTCATTTGAACAGTTTTAGAATTAAAGAAAATGGTTAGTTATCTTTAAATGATGCTAGTATATTATTCCTTATGTTTAAGAATGGAATAAACAATGTGGTGCTGTGTGATAACTCAAAAATGGGTGAGTCGGGGCGTAAAAGTGCTAGCGCAGACGATGAAGAAACTGAAGAAGCTGGCAAAGAAGTAAAAAAACTTCACAAGAATGGTGCAATGTTTGAGGAAGCTCGACGAATGCTTTCTTCTTCACTTAAGAGAGTTTACAGGTATGCGGATTCCCGCTCAAATTCAATTTTGAGGAGTTGGAGTGACTTTTTGGTTGAAATGTTTTGCCATTATTTATTCATGTTCTTCATTTTCGTCCCTTTCCAGATTGAAGCAGATTACCAAACAAGAGTATAAAGAAATAATGAAAAAAGGTGTGACAGCGTTATCTCAGCGCACAAAATTGGATCAAAGAAAGGTTGATGAGTATGCAGCGAAATATGTTGAGTGTGTTGTACATCGCCGTAAAAAGCGGCATTAAGCTTAGTATTTAGCCCTCTTTATATAGTTTTCCAACTTAGGCCTAAAAAAGCAACGCGGCCTAAATCATATATTTCGCTGGAGGCTTGTGGTTTGTTGTGAAAGATATCTCTAGACAGAAATGTCAATACCTTTAGATATCTTAAACGCTGCACTGTCTTAATCTTCTGTTGGTTCTATTCAAACATAGTGAATGCACAACGCTTATGCCCGTACTTATTGGGCTTTGATAAAGGGCTAAGCAATATTTTCATAATTTTTGGCATGGATTTGTTAAATATTGTCGCATAGTACAAACCTACACTGTTATCGTTATCCCACCACTTTATGGGTGCAATTGTATTACAAATGTAATAAATTCATATATATTAGAAGTACTGGAGCTCCAATGTGACGTTCGGGTCTTGATTATATTGTACGACATTGAACTAATTGGCAATCAACTTATCTACTAAGATTTCTTTTTCTCAGTCTCCCTCCGTTTGAGGTAGGAATCTAATAGTATGTCTTAGATGTGCCGGACGTACGTTGATGTTCCAATCACCTGAAGGCGAGACGAGTTTGTGATTCTCCCAGACTTCCTGTTACAGCTAAGTTGAGAGCTATTCTGGTTTCGATCCCGAAAATTTTACTTTCAAAGTACATCATGGATTTCGAAGTATTTGGTAGGGGTTGGAGTCGTACATGTAGTTTGCCCAATTTAAGCCAGAATTTTATTATTCGGAGACTACAGTACATATAAGAGAATATTTCGACTTGGAAGCACGCAAAAGATTTAAGATCATGTAGTTTTATTATCTCTTTAAACGCTGAAAAGTCATTCATTAAATAATAGGAAACAAATTACAATATTCAATTAGTACAATACACAAAGACTTTGTTTTGGATTCTTGGTAAAATATGAACGGATATTAAGCATAAAATTTCCTAATAAAAACAACTGGAAACAAAAATTTGTGCCGAAGCGGTTGATGCAAAAGGACTGCAGGACTTGACATTGTCATTTACACAAGAGGGGCAAAGTGAAATACCGCGTTGGGTTCATTCTCTGGGTCAATCTTGCGCAGTTCTCGCAATGGCACGCGAGGTCTCGTTAACTGTTCCTCTTCCCACAGCACACTGTAACAAACTGTCCGCTACCAAAAGGGAAATAATTACCGCTACTGAATCATGCTGCAGTGATTACAGAAAAGTTTCTGATAAGCTTACCGTTTGAAATGTTCCACTTCCAATTCAAGAGGGTCGAGAAACTCTAATTCACTGTCAGGACGTGGTTTGAATGCTTCGTGTGGGTCGAACTTCATCTCTGCAACTGCGACCGCAATGCGTGGGTCACCTGGTTCAAAAATCATCGGACTTTGGCTATGGAAAATTTCATCCTCTTTCGCGAAAGCGGCAAGTTTCTGAGTTTCCGAGTCATAGTTCGCCAATGGACTCGATGACGAAAGAAACGTCTTACATGCTTCATTTCTTTTTGCACGAATTGCAGCCGTTAGCTGGCTGGAACCAGGCAAAGCTCTGCCAGTTCCTATCTTTAATACAAATCGCATTAAGATAATCCCAAAAAGCCGAAATCAAAAATCGTAAAAACAAGGCACACTCTCATAGCTGTAATGAATACAACTAAAAGCTGATGTTCTTTCAAACATTTGTGTCAACATGCATTTTTAGTCCAAAATAATGTTTAAGTTTGGCTACTCGTATGATTCATGAACGAACCCAATAAGCAGTAATTTAACAAATCAGTAAGAGAACTGAAGAAAACATGATACAGCTTACCTTGTTCAATTGTGTAGTGTTCACGCTTCCTGTAGTGCTTATTATACCATTCCGATGACTGACCAGAAATCTCTTATTTAGACATTGCGAGTTCTGTGTTTTATTAGCAGTGACATCTTGCTCGAGAGAAACAAAATTTAACGGATCTCGCGCAGGGATATCAGAAATCACATTATTTACAGGAATAACATCTAGTGAACACCGTTTTGAACAAGACAAGGAATCGGGAGGCGTAAATCTCCGTGTAGTGGCGTTGGTGTTGACATTTCGGGAATTTTGCGCCGCGCCGTTGTTACTATGCGAATTACTTTGTAAAGGCGCATTCATGACACCAAGAGAAGGCGACTGAGTTCTATTACTGTTTCCCTTAAACGAGACGAAATCAAAATCACGCACTGTGAATGCTGGACCACAACGAGATGGCTTGGAAGATGAAGATGGTACAGATGAGGACAATGATGATAATGACGACGCTTCTGACGCATGTCGTGGCAGTTTCTGAAAACCAAAATAGGTAACATTTGTAGTCGTTTGAAAAGATTTCGCATCAAATATAGGAATTGGAGAGATTGGTCCTCTTTGCAACACATCAGTTGGTGCATTATTAACTGGTGGTGCGATTGAATACTGGCCTGATATATAAACTTTATCATTTATTCCAATTTGACAAGTCCTTCCTTCAAGTGCTGTAGCAGTTCGTAGTGGTCGTAAAACCGCATCCTGCGCAAGGTTAGAACTTGCTGATGGCAGTATTGGTGTATTTTGATTCGCTGAAGACACGACACACTGATTTAATCCACTGATAAGGTAAACTTGAGGCTGTCCCCCAAAATGTGTATAGTAACTAACTCCTCTTTGGTACGTCCCAAAGCCTAATGCATTTGTTTGTGAAGAAGGAGGTACTGGTAAGACAGAAAAAGGAAGTCTTTGTGATATATTTGTGTTAAGTCGCATTTGCGATAAATCAGAAAGACTCGTCTTAGGAAGCGCAGGTATTTTAGAAGGAAGTTCTGTGATTGGCCAGCTTACGTTTGGCGGTTGAGATCCGGATTCTACCCCGGGTAGAGCTGTAAAAGTTTCACTCACTGTCACAACTGCTGAAAACACATCTGATTCTTTGTCTTCTGGAAGTTTTACGGATGGCTGGATATCAAAAACCAATCCTCCACTTTTTGAAAAGACTGCTGCACATTTGACAGGAAATGTCGTTTCAGACTTCACTACATTGTCCTCATTTTTAAAACTATTGTTTTCATCTTTCTGTACCACTGAATCCGTTTTTTCCTTCTTTGCAGACGTATTTTCCTTTTCATTTTCTAGAAGAGAAAATTCTGGCCCCTTCGCGACGCCCTCGTTTCGCTTCAACTCTTCCTTACTCTGTATTCTTGCTCGTCCAACCTTAAAAATACCAACTTGCTCCTTTGTCGATGCCAATCGTTTGAATTCCGGATCATTCCAATATTCAAATTCTAAAATCGGTTCCTTTGGAACTTCGATATCTTGAGTTTCCGAGAAATGTTGTTCAGTTTCTTTTTTTCGATCACGACCATCTTTTTTCTTTCCTCGTACTCGGTCCTGCAATAATCCAACGCCATAAAAAACTGCACTGAACCAAGCTGCACTCTTTCAAGGTAAATTTATAACTATTTCAAGACAAATTTATAACGCAATATTTCTTAAAATGTGCTACGGAATAATCAGCTTGCACATTATAACAATGAAGAAGGATCAGTGACCGAGATTCATTTCACCATGCTACCGATTTTCGACTAAGGAAGAAACAAACTGGAACTTGAATTGAGAGGTCAGATTTAAATGAGAAGCCAAAGGTCAAATACACAATTTCGATTTCATTTAATTGCTCTAAATGCCTAATGCAACTAAAGACAATTTTATAATCTATAGTAACATACCGCTTTCTTCTTTTTTGCTTCAGGTTTGCTCTGCTTCGCTTTTTTTATCCCTTGCTGTGCTCCTCGATGTTCTTTTTTCACCTGTTGTTGTGCCACTTGCTGTTCCTTTTTCTTTTTTATAAACTCAGCCTCAGTGGCTTTCTTTTGCTCTTCTTTGAGTTTTCGTTCTCTATCTTGCCTTTCCTTTTCTTCCTGAAACTATTCATGTCGTTTTCAATGTTAAAGTGCACAAAATTTAAATCTGAAAAATATTTGTAATTAGGAGAAATACAATGTAGAATGTTTTATATTCTACCTCTGTAATTGCAATTCTTCAGAAAATAATTTACGTCAAATCTTTCAAATCACGGCAAAATTAAAAGGTCTGCACGCATTACCATTTTAATTGATTGATAGAAACTAAAAGGAGTAATAAAAATTCAGAAAAATAAGAATGCCATTTTGCCATCTACGAAATCGTGCATTTCGGTAATCAAATCGGAGATAACAAATTGACAATAAAGGGAATCTATTAACCCAAGGTAAGAAATAAGTAGGAAGTCAACTTTTTTCCTGTTTAATATTTCTAAGCTGGAATTTGTCAGAAAGGGTCACAAGCACAGTCAAGCAAAATCAAAACTCCAACTTGTTTTCGGAGCTTCTGCCTAGCTCGTTTAGCCGCTTTATTTGCTGCAGCTTGTGCAGCTGCAATGTCTTTTTCGTTAATGTAATCCAGAATTTCCTCAATTGGCGTGTCGGGAATAACTGCGGGCGATTTTTTAGATTTCTCATTAGCGGCAGCATAGATCAACTTTCCCTTCAGATTTTTTGTGTCAGTTTCAGATTGCTAAAATGCTTGTTACTGAATGAAGTTACATATTTGAATTTAGCACTAGTTTTATAACACATAAGGTGAACTAAATTAAAATTTAAAGAAAATTAAAAATAGTCAACAAAACCTTTCCAAAAATAATTCTTGTTTATTAAAAAGTATAATCTCAATTTCTCTCAGAATACTTTCAAATACTGGGAAACTGAGAATAACCTCTTGCACAGTTCGGCGTTTTAGTTTCATCCGAAGCCTTTCTCTTATCTGCGCACGACCTGATTTGGTACTGTCTGTGGCGGCATGCCCAAACATCTCACAATAACAACAATCACAATGCCCGTGCCGTCCATCTCGTCCTGTTCCAGAAGTTGTCCTTTTCCTTTTCGTCTGAAACTAATACCTAAGACCTAATATAAATGCAGCCGTCGAGTAAACAACAACTAATAAATCATTCAAATTGAGGTTATTGATTCGAACTTATGTTCTCGAAGTTCGAATTAGGCTTATGTAAGCAAAATTTACCTTATTGTCGCAAGAATGATGACGGTGTGGATGCTGTTCATCGAGTGCTTCGCAATCACTCCATTCTTCATCTGAACTCTGAAGAAAAATAAAGTTTGTACATAAGTTTCCTGCAATGCAAATAGAGAAATGTGATACCACTAAGTATCATACAGTGCAAATGCATTAACAAATTGGTAAATATAATAAACAGTTCGTAGAAATAACCTCGTCATCGTCATCTGTCAGATCATCGATATTATCCGTCTGATAGTCAAATAATTCTTCCTTCGAAACTCTGAACTCATTTCCAACTCGTTTACCATCACCGTATTTAGAATCAACTTTAGCGGATACACCTGCATTAATGCTTCCAGGAACAATGAGTGAAAAAAATTTGTCACTAATAGTGACAACTGCTTTGTGGTGGAAGTTGCGACATTAAGTCTCAGCATACATTTCAAAAGGCTATAGTCACTTTACAAAACTTTTACGATTCTTTATCTTGTCATAATTACCTTAACTTCACTATCGCAAATTGAAAGAGTGGTTGATAATGACAAATATCATTTCTTTGAAAAGTATAAAGCGAAGGAGACAGACCTGCTTTATTTTGCCTCAATCCGACAGCTTGTTTTAAAAGTTTTTTGAGCTTTCCCTCTTCATGTAATTTCCTCACACCTTCAGGGAAAGTATTAATCTCAAATCCACCCAAACCAAGGCTAAAATCAATAGCTGTCGTCGAATTACACATCGCATCCAAATGTCTACCCATCTTGCTAGATACTGTTTGTGCCGTTTTTTGCTGAAAAAGTACCGAAACGTTAAAACTCAACATTTCCTGCCTCTTTTTTTCAGCGCAAATGGCCCCGAACAACGAACCTTTTCAAACGTTTGAATCTTTTCAACGTTGAATGCTTTATTAATATCGAAGACAGTTCTTTGCTCAGTCAACTGTTTAGCAATTGCAGCAGCCAATGTTTGTTTCGACCACCGTCGTGCTAAGTTGTCTTGCTCGACTTTTCTCAGCGATGATTTTCCTTTTTTATTTGCTAAACCCGAAGAGGCCGTAGAAAAACTGATCATCGTTCCTTTAAAAATTCAGTTCAAATCCAAGCAAAATGCAAACATTCGTCACACTGAATGATATAAACTCACCAGTATCGGCTACATCAAATACATTACTGACAAACGCAAGCGACAAAGAATCTGCATTACTTACTAGCCTCTGGAATGTATAACATTTCTCTGTCACTTCTCTTTTCTTGGTAAGACGTTTTCGCAGTCGAATTCCGACTAACAACTTCCCGCGTTGAAGCGCACCTGAAGAATAAATCCATTTTCATTTTCATAAGGCCCAGAAGAGCTAGAAGAACTTGTACCAAATAATTTTAGTAATTTGAAAAGAATGGAAGTCTTCAAAACCGCTTCCGCTTTCAGTTCATCTCAAACCACTAAAACGCATCGCGATTATGATCTAAATTCCTACTCATCCTTAGTGCGTTGTGGAAGACAAAACTGTACATTAGAAACGAAATAACTAATGAAATACAATTAGCACAGCCATTCAAACCTCAAGAGCAACATCACATACACTAACGTATGTCGAAGTAATGGAATATCCACACATTTATCTTTCATCTGGCAGACAGATCTTCCGATGTAATAGTGGTTCAAAAGCATAGATGTAACCTCCTTTCTTATCACGATTAGCAATTAATCAAGAACTGCATATATAATTTACGTATCCTCAATGGTGAGATTTATCCAAAAAGAGACGCACGCGTCAATCTATTAAAAGAAGTAGGTCTCGAGTGGAAAAAAAACTGGCTAGCAACAAAGGAGCGGTAAGTACGGTATGGTGTCAGTGTTTAATAATACCGAAAGCAGCATTTTTGCGGAATGGCAATTTCTGCTTTCATTTTATATTAAAGCGCATCGAGCCAACACTTCTTCACGGATATATCTTAGTACGCTGTTTAAGATAAGTAAACTTTTAAGAACATAAAGTGACAACTATAGAAAACTTTTTTTTTGACAACTACAAAAAAAAAAATGTTGCAAACAGCAAAAAATTTTACAGAATCGCTAGTGACGAAAAACTATTGGCATATCAATCTCTGAGCATTACCTGTTGTGATCTTGCTGATTCTCAAACACAATATGAAAACAAAGGCTACGAAATGCTTACTTCTCATCTTTGACAGTAGTTTTGAAATTATTTGCTTCCTCTTCCTTCATCCAGTCCTTGGAAAAACACTCCCTCATACTTTCTAACAGTCGGTCTTGAAGTATATCTTCCTTAACATTCCATATTAAAAAGTGGAGTTCAAAAGCAAGGATGAATTAACCGAACTTCAGAAAAGCCAACAGCTCAATAAATATAATGACTATGGGCTTCATTTTTTTTCATGAAATATCTTGAAAGTTTGAATACTGTTAAAAATGTTTCTTTTTTTTTTTTTCACAATTTAATTCACAACGCTGCTTTCAGACTTTAAAACATGTCGACGACTTCGAAAAAAAACCTTGTCATCCTCGGGGGATCTTGTTGTCCAATGTTCATCTTCGTACGGCTGAACTAAACGCAGTAAAGTCCTTTCACGAATCTTTTTATCCATACCTTTCACTTCACTAAGCAATCGCTCACGAGCAAACGCTACAATACAGACCATCCAAAGTGTTCAACTATGCAAATTTTCCAGTCACTCTTCAAACATCCACTCATCAAATGATTAGAATTGCGAAATGAAGATGTCGTGCTTTCAAAAACATTAATTCCGCTACCCGAAAGGGATTTCACTGTCGCAGTGCCACCGCTATTCGCATCGTTTTTATCAAATACAAGTTTACTCTTCCTGATAAGCCGCGAAACTGGTGATGTCAAACCAATTTTGCGCATCATTTGCGGTTTCTCCATTGTTTTTCTTCCAAAAAGCTCAAGCGCCAAATCCCTTACTAAAAATGAAAACATAAATTACAGGCCAGAAACTACTAATGAAAAGCTGGGTTTTACCTGCATTATTCTTTGATAGATCAATATAATGTCTTCGAGTCATTTCTTTCAGTACCATCATCCTATCTGGTCTAGATAGATGAGAACTGTCCACGCTGGAAGCAAACAAAAAATTTGCATTGTAGAAACAAAGAAATTTTGTAAGTCCTAAAGAGAAATATAGATGTGACACCGTGAAACGTTCTTCTCCATCTTGCTTGTTTTTTTTTTTTTTTTTTTTTTTTTTGGATGAAAATAAGATATAAATTAACCACTGATTTGATCCTGGAAATGACGCTGAAGATGTTTCATAATCAGATTCTGTCCCATCCACTGTTACATTACTTCCTGCTTTCCTTATTTTGAACCTCGTCACATTTATATTACTCACCGATGCAATTGTAAAATCCTTCAAAAGGATGAACAAATTTCCAATAAAAAAAGAAAAGAATCAACATTAATTTCACTTTATGGATAACTGATATTATTTCCCAACACAAATTCTACAGGCCATAAAGAAAAATATATCCCTATCATAATCGAACTTACAGATTTTCCATCTGAGCGAAGATTCGATTTCTTCATTAAAAACGAGCTCCTTACTCCATGTTTACCAGGGCTTCCGATCATGCTTGTTTTCTCATTACTGATTACTGAAAACTTCAAACATAATGACAAATAGAAAAATTGGACAAACAGCCTTCTTCAGCTACAAAAAATAAGATGATTACTGTAAAAAAAGAAAAACCTGGTGAAGTCTTTCGCACATCAATATTCTCAGATTCATAATTTGACGGCGATTCTATTCTAAAAAAAGATACTCCATGTTCATTATTTTTCCAGTTCAAATATTTTCAAAGAATAAATGGAAACAAATCCATAAACCCAGAAGTTTCAATAAATTTCGTAAAAATAAATTTCAAGAAACTGAGAGCTTTTCCACCTGTGTCTTTTCGCCATCAGTTCGAATGCTTCCTTAACAATTTCTTGATATTCCTCACTATTTGATAAATCAGACGAATCGCTAATATCAGTTGCGCGCTCCTCTTCATCTGAACATTCATTGCAGTTTACAAAAAAAAAAAAAAAAAAAAAAAAAAAAAACATACCAAACGAAAATCGAAGAGCAAACTATGAATTTGAGGTTGCAAACCGGCAATATACCGAGCTTCATTTTCAACTTCCATGTATACCTGTTTGATTATTTAACGACCTACGTTCGCCATGCATGCTTTTCTTTTCACAGAGACAATGGTCGAGATAATCGATGTCATCTGTGTAATCATATGGTACCTGCCAATCGCCCCAAGCTGTTTCTTTTTCCTAAATTTTTTCTAGTGAGTGAACTAATAAAGCGCTGACCGCACGTAATTTAACATGTTGTTGAATATGCCATTTGAATCTTTCGAATTAATTTTTCTTGACAATGAATTCTATAGATATCCTTAAGTTCCACTTTTTATGTGCCAATTTCTTCGAATAAAGGCATCACTGATCCTATGGATGTATTAATAATTCAGAAGTTCCCAAAGAACAAAAAAAAAAAATGTCAAAAAAAGGACAGAAAATCGCACATTGTTATGATCGTGTACAGTGAACAAAGCTTTTGCAGTCTGAAATCGTAAATTGTGGTTGGACAAACGTTTAATGCTTGGAAGAGATGATTTTTTTCGCTGCGGCTTTTCATCCGAATCTCTTTCATCACTTCTTTCAGAGCAATCGCTCACAGGCTGCAATAATCAAGTTCAACTGAAACAGAAACAATACAATTGTAAATGCATGGGAGAACAATTCAATAATTTCCAACCCATATTAAATTATTTATATCCTCGTTATCAATTAGTAAACCACAAGTGATAATATGCGAAATTCGACACTCGTTACAAGAGCAATGTCGAAGACTGCACCTCTTGCATCGCACATAAGGCAACACTTCGCCATTTTCATCTGAAATCTTCATTACGTCAATCTAATTAGAATGCAAAGTGACAGCAGGTAATTTATATAGCAGAATGATTTAAAACATCATCACAAGAATGAAAATGATTGCATATTATTAAGCTCTTTAGTACTACTATAAGCAAATGATAACGCTCTATCTCTGGAAATATACGAACAAGACTCTTTTAACAGAAACTGTACAAACAAGCTTTCTGAAAGAACACACATGTGCGCACGAAAACTAACCAACACAAACAGAATTTGCAGGTCCCTCTTCAATCAGTTCGTGTAATCTTTCTGACACATTAATATCATCAACTTCTGAATCGCTATAACCGCTGAAATTGTGATCTGTATAATGCTGACATGGGTAAAAACATAAAATTAGATAAAAAGTAAAAAATATGATTGCCTCCTTGTCAGATTTCTGAGGTTCCATACACAAATAATCTACATAAAATATTAATTCTTTCTTATGGTAGCAATGTAAATTTTACTCAGGGTATGTTAAAATAAAAACATCTAAACATACGAAATTAAGGAAGGCTTACCATTCATCATCTATTAAATCAGTTAAATCTCCAAAAGCAGTCAAATCAGCATGCCATTGGTAATACTGACCTTTCCGCAAAGTGCAATTACGAATCATTTTCCACTGGCTTTTGAAAAAACCCAAATTTTCTTTCAGCAATTCACCTTTCGTTTTGCGCTTAATCTAGAAAGGCTGATTGGAACAAGACCTTGCAGTAAAATGAAAAAATTAAACTTTCAGTGCTCGGCAGTTGAAGAGTAGACGGAGTTCCTTAATTTAGCATCACTTCATTTTCCTAAAAAATAATTGAATTTCTCGCCAACTTACATGATTAATAACTTTCTGCTGCTTGGTGTACAATACGATATTTGCACTGGCTTTTTTAAATATTTCTCTGCTTGTAACCATTAATTTATGAAAAACACGAAAACTTTGAGCAAGTTCGAGTGCGCCTTGAGGAATATCTGCATTACTAAATTCAGTGCAAGCACGTTGTCGATGATCTTCATTTTCATCATCATGGACTATCAATTTACACCTATCAAACAGGTTGTGTTTTAATATCCATTACTATATCTATATCAAGGATAAAAAATCAGACAAGAATTATTAACAGTTAGTTACCTGTAAACAAGGTCTGCCACTTTGTGCAGAGTGATAGAATTCGTTTAAAAGTAACTGTTCAGAAGTGTAATTACAACAGTATTAATAATATATATTATTGTTGGTCAGAAATAAAGCTAGTTATAAGGAAGAAATTGAAATCCTTTGAAAAACTACCCTTCCATACGAATCTGATGAAATCTGGCTGCGTTATGTTAGTGAAGAGAGGTTTAATTCAAACAGCTTATGAAGATAAGTGACAGAAATTTGAATTATTTCTCCTAAAAATACACAGCTCTGTCAGTTCTACGGAACCTTACTAGACGACTCATTTCATGGTAATATAAAAGTATGTCCAAAAATGGAATGAATCATTTAAAAGCATTGTCGCATATTGTAGAAGGATTCGAACTAACAAAAAATTAAACTGCGATGAAAAAAGTGATTTAACAGCATTTCTCTTTCAGAGCTTAAAGCCTCAGTGAGTCACTTTTAGGGGACTGTTCATATCCGTAAGTCGAGTTAAAGAAATAACGCGCTGGGGATAAACATTCTAAAGTAATTTCAGAAGAATACTCGAACTTATAACGGTTTTATGAAGAAAACGATTTGAGTGTAACAATGACCTTGTCTGAAAACAATATGGCAAGTGCGATCGGTGAAAATACTACGTAATAAATTAATAAATTAACCTACTTGAGAACATTTTCTAAGCTGGGCAGATAATTTAACAAAAGATTATCTTGATAAATGACTCGGTCGAAAATGTGATGATTTACGACTTTCCAACTAATGCCAAACTGCGAAAGATAATCTTTATCCTGAAGCAATAATTTGAATAACTGACTAGTACAATGCAAGACAACAATTAGTTTCCACGTTTTTTTTTTTTTTTTTTTTTTGCAAACATTACTGTCCTTAGAGAATAATTCAATAAATTATTTCTTCTAACTAGGCTTTTCTAAGTATCTGTACAGAAAAAATACCTAATAAAGGACCCACTATTTGAACCTACATTTATCTCTTAGTCTCAATTTTCGGAGTAGTTCTCAGAACAACTATATTTTAAAAATAATTTACTCAAATATTTAGATAGGAAGATTACTTACTAAGACTGCCAGTAATGGTGACATATTCCTTGCAGTTTCTTGCTGGCATGAAAAGCGGTCAAGTAAAGTCTTGATAAAAAGTTTAGCTCGTTCAAGTTCCACTTGCTCCTCATTAGCACCGGCTTCATAAAGCTGCAACCTGGGAGTAAGGACCCATTTTATAATATTATTTACTCTGGAACTTCCTTTAAAGAAAATGAACCGTAAGCGGGAACACCATAAAACAGCTGGAACCTGAATAAGAGCAGGTACGACTTGAGGGACCACCAGTATTTGCCACAGATCGTCTGATTTCAGATTCAAAACATATTCGTGTCCAATACTCTCCAATCGTTTGTACAACTGATGAGGATCCTTCTCCGCCAATCTGAGCAATGTTTTGCATGTAAAAATTACTATTAAGCTCACATATGCAATGTTCTAACAAATGAGCACAAAATCTCATAAATTTAAATTCATTTCTCATTCCATTTCAGGAAATTTTAAGTATATATATCTTGATCATCTAACAGGAAGTTTTGTGAAAACTTCGTTAGACGCTGTTGATAAAGATGCCTAAAAACAACTTGTCGAATCACTCAATTCAGGATAGTATGACTTTGTTCATAAATACTTTCGCTTACATCGTAACATTTCGTTTTATCTTGTCCACATTAAATCGCTTCCCTTTCGATGATGTCATGTTGGCATTTAGACCATCGCGGAACATCTGTCGGATATTCTGACGTAAATCATGCCAACATCTTTGTAGCACTTCTACCTCTTTTTGTCGTTCTTCACTCACAAGTCTATACAAATTTCTGCTTTAGCAATTAGCCACATTGCACTAATCTAGCCAAAAAATTTCTGGTATAAAGAGCACTAGTATCAACAAATGTGAGCCAACATACTTTAGAAAGACTGTCTTCTGTTTCTTAGAAATCTTAAAAACATGTTTAAAAAAAAAAAAAAAAAAAAAAAAACATTTCTTGAAATCTTAAAAACTCTGGAGTAACTCAGGAGAAATAACTGAAGTTTAAAATTAGAGACATACTGTCGTCGAATACAGTTTTGACATTTACAATGATCATAAACACTCAAATCCGCATGCGCACAACCTACCGACATTGGTCGTGTTTTATTATTATTCTGAAAAGCATCATTTTACAAAAGCTGACTCATGAGGAAAAATTAAAACACAAAACGTATTAGATCTTATATGCAGATTGCCACTTTTATGAACCAATAATGTTTGGAAGTTCCAAGGGACCAAAAAAAAAAGATGCAGTACATCACAAAAGTCAATACATGGTTCTAAGGCTCTTGAACAAAAACGATGAGAGAAAGAGAATGTTATGTATTGCTTACGTAATGTTATTTACAGCTTGCCTGGAGATGACTTAAATTGTACGGATATATATTTTAAGCATATTTATTCTTTTATTTGATATAACTGCAGAAAAATGCATTATTTCTTGAAAGCAAAAAGAAAAGTCTCCAAATCCACAATAAGTCGTGTCCAACGGTTGTGGAATATTTTAAGTGTTGAAAACAGGAATCTGCAAAACAGTGTTAATCTTCTTGATCCTTACCAGTAAAGCAGCTTCTAATTCTTCGGCGTGTCCCTTTTCGTTTTCCATGCAATCATCACATATATAATAAGCCTAGAATCCACCATTTCTGACGCTCAAATAAAGAAAGTAATGTTTCAAATTTATACCAGCGGTGTTGATGTGAGGAACTCACCAGAAACGTCGATCTAGTATCGTTGAACGTGAATTTATGTTTACAAATTAGACATGCAATGTTAAATCTGCATTGTACTTCACCATCAATAACCGAATGAAGTGAAAAAGTTATTACACAATGTCTGGATCGAGAAAGACCATTCTTTGACTCATGTCTCTAAAACACCACTACTTAGACCTACAAGCAGCTACCATTAATGTCCAGTCACAATTTATACAGAGACGGTTCCTATCCAATAATGGATTTTGAATTTAATTTCCTAACTAGAGAAGATGAGAATTTGACCAGAATGCTTTATAAGCGCCTTTAAGCGCCGTGTCACTCCAAAAATATGAGCAATGATATATATGACACACGAAAATCTGAACGACAATTTGCAAGAACTACAGCGAACATTCTTAGATTCTTCATGATTAGGTCTTTCTACTTGAAAAACCTCCAGGATGACTACTAATTTGATAATACCATTTTCTAATGGTCAAGTAATATTGCAATTTCTAAAACTGCTCGGACAAACTCCTTATACGACACAATGTTTAGAGGTGATGATAGGGAAATATACGGCGCGCAAAGAATACCCAATGAGAAAAAATTACGGGGACAAAGTTGCTACAAAAAACACTGAGATGGATCAAGCATGAAAAGATTCACTTCATGTCTTTGATCACTGCTATGTTCAGAACTATTGAGGTCATCTCTGTCAAATTCATCCATTAGACTGTTCATGTTGCCATCAGTCACCGCCTAAAAATAAGCATTCGGCTATGAATGAATCAATTTAGTTATGATCTGACTTACTGACTACACAAAGATTTGCATTGTGGTAGATGAACTGCAGTCGACATAAATTTCCACCTTCATTTTATCTTATAAATTAGCATGACTTCTGATACTGGTTTAACAAAATCCATTCATATCATAGGACAAAAATTAGAAAAACTCATTTGTAAAATCCATCCAGAAAAATAATAGATTATTTTACTGAATTTTGATTGTACATTGGTACGAACCTTATGAATACATTTGTGGGTGCTTTTCTTCGTGTAATTTGCGCCTAATATTTCGCTCATCACAGTTCAACAGTAACTGCAAAATGTATTCTAAATTCCAAAATGCTGACTACACAGGAGTGGCAAATACCAGGTACTCTCAACAAAAAAGTGGAGATCCTCATTTCCTCAAGAAATGAAGAACTGACATCTGCTGACTTTTATTGAGAAGGGTAGATGATTTTGATAAAAATAATTTGATGAATAGATATTTCTGGTATTCATTATAATTGATTGATAAAGATATTTGGTATTTGTTATAATTGATTAGATATTTTTGGTATTCATTATACCAGGTAATATCAACATGAAACATCACTTTTGCGAACAGCTATTAAAGAAAATCTCCATATTCATTTCGTTTTTCTGAAAAAAGTTTCAATCTTTCGCAGCGTTTTTGACGGAATGCAGTATACTTAACGAAGGAAATCATTTAAATTGGTTATCTGAAGATAGCAGCGTCTGTAGAGGTTCCATCAAGAAACATCCATCAAAGGTCAATCATTTCTGCAAAGCGCACTGAACTGAAGCCATAAAGACGGAATAGATGTTAACATACACTTAAGCGTCATTCACTCGTTACTCGACATATATTGAACTTCAGCTATATTAAAAAAGGTAAAACAGTATAGACAAACAAAAAAAACGTAGTTGGATTGACCAACGACATGTGCATTATGCACATTTGTATGTGTTTGCCTATATGTACGTTATGCACGAAGAATGTGTGTGTAGGTATGTTATGTATGCTGTTGTGTATGCATATGTATGTATGTATGTATATATATATATGTGTGTGTGTGTGTGTTTGCTGTGAAATAACTTCAACACCAATCAGTTGGTAAATAGCTATAGGTTTTTTATTCTGTTCAATTGGATGGGTGCTGGAAGAGATCGATTTGCAGGTGACCCGTAGCACGATAAAACTAACCGATCAATGCGCCGTCTACTAGCAATAGGGCGGCATGGTCGGCCCTCTTCAATTTTCTACACTTCCCCGAGGAGCTGCATCAGCAGTAATAGGCGGCAATAGAGATGATACTTGGCTTCGCTTCCTTTTATCATTCATTTTAATACTCTCCTTCCTGATGACACTTGCCCTATCCTACTCTACTATCTCGTTAAGTTGTATAACACCAGCTCTAATGGCAACACTTTAATCAGCTCTGTTTTGTACTTCCACCATCATCAAATCACATTCGTGCTTCGAAATGCACGATATATGACGAAGACAGTTTGTAATTCCATTCCTGATTAACAGAAAATGATCTAGAGTACGAAATTCAACTTTTATATATGGATGCTGAGAATACTGCTATCTGCTATAAAAATTTTAAGTCTGCTGCTTTCTCCTAATCTGATACTGAATCTTGAGATCTCAGATTCTAAAAATTTCTGCATACTGTTCGACTGATTTTTTTTTTTTTCACTAAAAGATATAACCTTAAGGATGTCCGTTGGTCAATATGAGCACACAGCAAGTGCATTTGACAGTGCTATACGGATAACTCTATGTAGTACATATCATTTAAACAAAAGTCACTTTCCATTTGGTGCAGCATTATCATTTGCCTAGGATTCCAGAGCAGTTGACCGAATCATTAAGCACGTTCTCAAACAGTGATTCTGATTAATTGAATGATGCGTACGGGTAAGGTGAGGTAGCAGACACTATTTCAGATCATACTCTTCCTGGCTGCACTTTCATCCCTTTTCTTGTACAGATTTTAAAACAAATCTACGAAAATGGAAACCTTGTTAACTTTAAGAGAAGACCCTTCACTTGCAGGCGCATATTATTGCAGGAAACTTGTTCCACTGAGAGAGAATTTTCAATCACGGTTTTTTCATTTATTTACAAAATCCATTATCGCCTGAAAATATCACATCATATAGTTTGTCTCCATTCACTGTATATCGTTAATACAAAATCGAAAAACAACTGACTGTCACAGCAGTATTCGTGCTATCATAAGAACGAGAAATGCATTTTTAATAGTGCAATTCGTCAAAAACAATAATGGCCTAAAGCGATGAGCAAAAGGATGCAACAAATACGAAATAAAAGTTTGTACATTTCCTTAGGCAACCACGAGCACTGCAATTCGGGAACTTTCACATCGAAACTTCAAAATTAATATATGCAGAAGTAATCGAAAAGGCACTGTGTATAGTACAAGAATAAATGTTGTTGGGGTCATAATGATGCCCTTGCTGTCGCATACAAGGTTATCACCCAGAGAAGTAGAAGGAATAAGTGGTCAGGAAAAATAGAAATGGCTAAATGAAATAACATTGTACGGCAAGCTTCATATAGCTATAAACGTAGGCCTATTTCCATCTCTTAATAAAAAAAAAATCCATTTTCGACAAAAAACTTAAGATTTAATTCAGGTCTCACGAATGTGACAACAAAGGCCAGGTAAACAATGTTGCTAGTTAAACAAAACATTCTAGAAATAAATAAACAAAATGTAATACGACATGCGGGATAACAAAAGGACAAGGTGGTGAACTAGTGGTGAACATAAGATGGAAACTGATGCAGTCATTAAAAACATTTGAAAACATAATGCCGATTAGCATATGAACATAAAGTAAAATCACAGTAACACCGCAGATGGGTTCCCTACGGAAGGAATGCTTGAATCATATTAACATTTTAGTGCCATTTACATCCGTTTTGATGGAATCCATGGACAAGTGCATCTGTATCATTCTTCTAAAGAGATTTAACGACTTCCTAAGACAGCATGCTCATGAAAATATGAAGTGCCTAACATATGTACTTCATTGTGCAGGTAATCACATTCAGCTAATTGACGCGCAGATGGACGACGCTCAGGATCGACAACTGTCAGCCAGGCGACGAACTTTTTCTAGAATTACAAGGACACTATATACTATATATACTTCAGTTTGTATGCAAGGAAGAAGTTTCCACAAGTTTCTTAAACAGCGAAAATTACTTGTAACGTTATGAAAAAAGAATTTGAAGAGTTTATATTGAAAAAAAAGTTTTTTCAAAGAAATATGTTCTTCAGAGCAAAGATAAATTCTTTTATTCTGAAGAAAAAAATAATGAAAAGCTAGTAAAGATATAACGCCCTTAAAAGGATTTGAATTAAAACTTTGGTAAATAGCAATATTTAAAAAATTATTGGAAAAAAACTGGAACCATTCTTTACCTCCTTAGAAGAAAGATTATCAAAGCATTTCGGCATGACCTCATTTTGTAAATCGGACAATACGCTATTACGTTCCATAATAGTTTTACAAGGAACAATGAGTTCGACGAAGATAAGTCCGAGTGAAAATACATCAACTTTTTCATTATAGGGTTTGCCTTTCAACTGAAAGCAAAACACTGAAGTAGATATCTAACATCGTAATCTTGAAAACATTAACAAATAATGGACAAAAAAGAGATAATGTAGCACATTAGACGCGAAGAATTACCTGTTCCGGGCTCATATACAAACGGGTACCAACATGACTCGTATGACAAACATCTGTTATTACATTTTTTTTGCAGCTGGTCCTTTCTTCATTAACATAATTTGTCACAAGACCAAGATCACCGATTTTCAAATAGTTCTCCGCAGAAAAAAATATATTTTGAGGCTGTAATACGAAGCGTTCGTTAGGATGTAGGCGATGTGAACAAACCTAATCTAAACTGTTGCCAATTACTGTTATCTCATACGCTGACTTATTATAAAGCGATGAGAGTATTCAAAAACTATTTACCTTTAAATCCCTATGGATTAGGCCCTGACTGTGAATGTAATCAATGGCACAGACCAATTCCGCAAGCCACTTGCGCATCCGAGTTATTTCACGATCTTCATCTCTATTATTTGCTAGTAACCAACTGTGCAGAGTTAACTCTTGACACAACTAAAGGTGAATAATTTCATCATTAGTATTATGGTAAGAACTACTTCAATATTGTATTGAAGTTTTTCATGTAATTAATTTTAATTATTTCAATTGTAAAATAACACTTCATTAAAAAGCTCACAGTGAAAGCGTAAAAATAACCTCCATCTGTATGTAAAGATAGACATAGTCTTTGATGTTCCTACAATTCTGCAAATCGCAAATGCTTGTGACCAAAACAGCAGGAGGTTGAAGAGGATCCAGTGATGTGTCTTTTCCTGATGTTTTTTTTGCGATTTCTTCAGTGCTGTGTAAGTTTCCACACTGAGCAAAAATTATGCCTGTTGAATCATCACTTCCTGCTGAAAAACCTAAGCTGCTAAAACTTGAGTACAACTGAAAAAATCTAATATCAATCGTATAAAATCTGGGAAGTAAAAGAACAAGCATCAATCGGTTCAGAGTAAGATTAGAGAAGTTCTAGTTGAAGTTGAAGATGAATTGAACGAAAAAATCCAAGTGTGCTTCCAAATACAATACTGAACTGTAATACAGTACCGAAATTTTTTTGAGAATCACACACTAATGAATAAATTTACAGAAGAAAAAGAAAGATCGAAGAAATTACTAGCTACGGCAGTAATTCCAGGTCCAATAGACATGTTGTTAATATCAAGAGATGAGTCCGATTCTGTTGCTGACCTCAGTTCACTGTCATTACCACCATTTATCCACGAAAGATTATCGGCATCACCGCTTATGGTAATACCTTTTCCGTTGGTAGACGTATTTAAATTTAATCCATACAACAGTTCCTTACTGATTGACGAATCCTAAATTACTCCAGTTACATGTATCATCATTATCAAAATTCAGCATCACCATTTTCTCACACATGTATTTCAACAGTAAAGACACGAAGATAAAAAGTACGATCTTTTTTTTTTAAAGGAAAAAGCTTGTAAATTCAAGTGCCACATGCCTTAGTTGCAAGATTTTTCGATTCGATTATATTCTGTTGACTTTCCAGTGTTTGCATTGCGAATTTGTTTCCTGAATCCTCAGTAAAGCGACTGAAAATATTCTTTGCAGTAACAAAACAAAATGAAAAAGGTAGATTTGAGAAGCTGAAAAACATA